AGCTCTGGTTTAGGGGAATCTAATAAAAAAAAGTTTGTGCAAATTAGATCATTCGTTGTGGTAGAATCAGCATTTTAATTTTAGTAATTTTTTTAAAAATTTTCAACTGTCCGGTGATTTTTGATCACCCACTGTATGTTGTATAATAATTATTTTATTACATTTCTAACTAAACCTATTTTATATTTTGTAGTTAAATTCTATGGAAATAATTATCTCGTGTCATGCGCTCAGACGGATCCGATTCCCGTGATAATGATAATTATTGGTTAATAATATTCGAGGTAATTTATGATTTATGATAATTGAATAATAACAATTATTTATATTTATATTCTTCTTTAACATGAATAAATTAATAAAATTCTCTTTTACCAGTTACATCGGGTATAATTGCTATGGATATGTATAAAGATGAAACTATTACTGTTAATAATAATAATACAATAACTTTCTCTCCGTTAAATGAAAATGTACGTATTTTTTTTTATCTTTATTTTCTATATTATCTTTATTTATTTATTTTATTTTATTTTTTTTTGTAAATAGTTTCACACTTATTCTTCCAAATTAAATTAAGATCTTCAATCACACGTTTAGGAATTTTACCTATAAATCAACTCATTGTTAGGATCTCAGAAGGAGACATGTTTTTAGTTGCTTAAGAAAAAAAAACCTTTATTTATTTTGTTTTATTTTTTATTTATTTTATTTTTTATTTATTTTTATTTTTTATATATTTATTTTAATTCTCCTCTTCTATTAGAAAATAATTAATAATTAACGTATTTATTATTTGTTTTTAGTGTTAGTGATATACACATATATGATAATAAGGTAGCATAAATAAATCTGCATCTTGAACATCTTGTTCTCTTTTTTTTTCGTAATGTTAACAATTCGATCCGGTGGTCAAACGGGTGTAGATAGAGCAGCTTTAGACGCTGCCCTAAGTTATAACAATAATAATGATGTTGGTGATGATAATAATAACCAATCACTTATTAATATTCATATTACTGGTTGGTGTCCCAAAGGACGATTAGCCGAAGATGATCAAATTCCATTAAAATATCCACTCGTTGAAACACCAACTTCTTCATATTCTGAAAGAACCGAATGGAATATTCGGGATTCCGATGCCACTTTGATTATTTTAATTACCACTGAATCATCACCTTGTCATGGAACGTCTTTAACTATTGAAAAAGCTAAGGAACTTCATAAACCCGTGAAAATCATTACCTTAGATAATAATGATAATATTAATAATGATAGTCAAGTTATTCAAGTTATTCAATGGATGAATGAAAATAAAGTTAAGACATTGAATGTGGCTGGTTCAAGAGAAAGTAATAGTCCGGGAATTTATGCAATGGCATTAAAATTTATGACTGTCTTATTATATCAATTAAATAAAATCAAACGAATTAATATCTAAGTGAAATCTATAATAACTGTTTATCATTTCATTTCATATTTCATTTATTTATTTTAAAGGTTCTTTTTAAAAAAGAATAAAAATATATTACATTCGTACATTAATTAAAATGAAAAATATCATTCGAGTAAAAAATCCTAATAATTATTTCCCTTTCTATTTCATCAAAAAGTTGAGCAAACAAGAAAACACAGGCAGCACATTTCAAAAATGAATTTGATAAAAAGAACAAGTGTAAAATGAAGCAATAGATAAATTTATTCAGGATGCTCAAAAAAGTAATAGAATGAATACCGTCGTATAATTTTAGAGGTATTAAGAAGATAGTAAAAGGTGGTTTTGGTACTATTCTATGAAATTATTATTATAGCGAAATAGTTATCGTGATGTAGCAATTCGTTTTGTATTAATAATTTTAATGATTTTAATTGGTTTAATATATTATTATCTTACAATTTTGCACCGTATTATGAATGTAGTGTTGGAATGCTAAAATAATAAAGAAATTATAATTATAATGCTGAAAAAATTTCCAAATATAACAACTATACTATAACTCTACTTAATTATAAGATACCAGTTGACTTGAAAAATTTAACTAATCTATCCTGTCCTGTTTTATTTATCAATTATGTTCTATCTTTTTATTTAGTTGTTTCTGGATCAATTTTATTATCCTATTTTAGCATATTTATTATTACGTTATGTCTTTTATAAATTAAGTATAAAATTAATATTTCAATTAACTTAGTTTATAATAAATATTTGCTAATGTATATCCTGTAGAAAAGTGTTTAAAAATGTAATATCAAAAAAACACGTACGCAGTACGTGTTTTTTTTTTATTGTACAATTTTATTATTTTTTTTATGCTATTGTCCAAAAAAGAATTATAAAGAAAAGATTACAAAAAAAAAATATATATAAGTATATATATATATATAAAATAAAAAAATACCAAATTTGTCAAAAAACAACAAATAATACTGAACCGTATTTTAAACTATTTAATAAATGAATAAAATGAAATGAATTAATCATTCGTTATTTCATTATAATTTCTTTATTTTCAGAATATTCCCTTTGTCCAAAAGTTCGACCAACATCATGAGAAGATTTATATTCTGACGTTTCAGGTTTCATATTATTAATTAATTCAGTTATTTCTTCCAATGAACGATTATACATTCTAGCAATAGGTTTAGCTAATGAAAATAAAGCAGTGAACATAGATTCTTGGTATTCTTCACCAAGTTTTCCTCCCCAGCTACCCAGCGGTATTTGTTTGACTTCTTCATTAATATTCGTTATGTTTGGAATTTTTATCTAAAATAATTAAAAATAAATAATTAGAAATAATTTGAATAATAAATAAATAAACATAATAAATAATTACCAAATCGTTCTGTGAATAATGTGTAGATTTAAAATTCATTGATTCCATAAGTTTTCTTTCCATAGACATAAACTTCTCTGTACAAGGACCTTTGTTATTTATTTTACGATGACCTTCTTGAAATTCAATCCATCCTCCCGGTTTTAAAATACGTACACATTCTAAACACAAAGAAGATTTATTTAAAGATTTATATAAAATTAGTATGAACTTTATTAATTTTAATAATTTTCGTAATATAAATATAAATCAATAATTACCTGGTACCTTAAATAGATAAAATAAAAATGTAAAAAAAAAACGAAAAAATATAATAAAAAATCAATAAAATTCATGTAAAATAAGATATATAAAATAAAAGAGAGAAAATAAATAATTACCACAATATAATCAAATTCATGTTTAGTAAAGCAATATCCCATATCACCTAAATGAATATAATTAAAATAATTTGATTCAAATGGTAAATTATTTAGAACATTCGCCACGACGAAATCTGCATTATTTGGTTTTATTTCTGATGGAAACATATGGTAAATATCGAGACCAATAAATGAAGATTGAGTATATTCTGAGGCCATATCCAATATCCAAGTTCCTGGACCACAACTATGAATGATATATATAGATATATATAAGAGATATATAAATGTAAGAGAGAGATACAAGACAAGAGAAAGATAACTAACCCAATATCTAGAACTCGACATCCATTAGTTAATAAACCTTGAACGGGAGCGGAAAAATTTCCCTCAAATATACATTTTATAACAAAATGTTTTCTTTTTAGTCTTTCAGATTCATCAAAATCATCTGTTAATATATAACTATGTTTGGTAGAAGCAATACTAATAGAACTTCCACTACACTTATGTAGATCATTATCATTTAATTCTGAATCAAAGATTTCGAATTTTCTCGCGATTTTATTTTTTTTTCTTGATTTTCTTGTTCGTTTTAAGTCTCTAACCAACGATATACCATTTCCCATGTTTATAATATTTCGTTCGTTACTTCAGTATATTTTATTATACTAGGGTTATATTGGTTTATATTGATTTGTATTTCGAGCTGTTAGAATGATATAATGAATGTTTTTAAGTTCGCAGAAATTTTTAAAGGTTTCATATAAAAAAAAATTTTTGGAAACCATACTCAAAATAGACGAACTATATAACAACAAAACATTAATATCGCTTATTAATATACAATTTGTCTGGCATACGTGTGAACCAGTGATTTTGAATCTAGAATAGACTTTTCCGGTTCTAGTATTAAACACGGAATGACACCAAAAGTATTAAAAAAGATTGACGATACATTTGCCCAAAATCAAACTAGAAATTTTTCGATCGATCGAAACATATTAAAATAAGATACCGATTTGTAGCTCGTGCGTGCTTATTACAGTCAACAATTTATAATGCACTATCCACCCTCTTTAAATGCACGCCAAACACATAGTAAACTTATAAAATTTCTCTCTATAAATGTACAGCCCATTAATGCTGGCCTCCGAGGGGGGGCGCATTTATAGCGAGTTCGCTGTACATATTTGGCTATATAAAATTTATAAATTTTCTGCATGCACGGTTGTTTCTTATTTTGTAATTATAATAATTCTTAAATGCCAGTATTTATTACAACTAAATGATCGAAGAATTTTTTTTTTAATAATTATCAATAATTATATCTAAAAGAAAAGGGCGTATTGATTTGAATATGAGGTTTGTGTAAAGAAAGAAAAATTGGTAAAAATCCAAAGTCCACAATAGGGATATAATAATAATTTAAAACAAGGCGAAATCTAAAAAGGAAAATTTGTATAAAATGCCTATCAATTTCCTTTTTAGCCAAATCGCCCCAACCTGATATTATGTTCTTTGAAAATATTGCACCTCTCATGAAATTGGACACAAACCATAAACCATACAATCTTTGCATAATGAAATAAAGGAAATTGGAAAAAATGTGGCGTCAATAAGAAAATTATTCTTCTTTATTAATGTAAACTTTGAATATCCAATATTTACTATAATATACTGCGTATGCACACAATTGGATAAAAATATAATAATAAAAATACACAAATACTTGTGAATTACATAGGAATTTATTATGTAAGTACGCGTTTTTATAATTTTTCTAATATAAATGAACATAGAAATATCAAATTTCTCAAAATACAACAAAATAACGTACTATATTTAAATATAACTATTTAAATTATCCAATAAGTGGATAAAATGAAATGAATTAATCATTCTCATTCATTATTTCATTACTAATTTCATTATTCTCAGAATATTCCTTTTGTCCAAAAGTTCGGATAAAATCATAAGAAGATTTATATTCTGACATTTCCGGTTGCATATTATTAATTAATTCAATTATTTCTTTCACTGGGCAATTGAAAATTTTAGCAATAGATTTAGCGAAAGAAAAAAAGTCAATAAACATAGATTCTTGGTATTCTTCACCAAGTTTTCCTTCCCAGCTACCCAGTGATATTAGTTTGACATCTTCATTAATATTTGTTATGTTCGGAATTTTTCTCTAAAATAATTAAAAATAAATAATTAAAAATAATTGAAAATAATAAATAAATAAATAAATAAAAATAAACATAAAATAATAAATGATTACCAAATCATTCTGTGAATAATGTGAAGATAAAGTATCTGTTGTTTCCAAAATTTTTAAAGTCATAAATGTAAACTTTTCTGTATAAGGACCTTGGTTATTCATAATACGTTTAGTTTCTTGAAATTCAATTCAATCCATCCTCCTGGTTTTAAAATATGTATACATTCTAAACACATAAAGAAGATTTATGATAAAATTAGTATGAACTTTAATAAATTTCAATTTAATAATTTTCGTAAATATAAATATTATTCAGTAATTACCTGGTACCTTAAATAGATAAAAATAAAAAATGGAATTAAACAAATACGAAAAAATATAATAAAAAATTAATAAAAATTCAAGTAAAAATAAAATATAAGAGAGATAAAATAAAATCATAATCAGAAAAACAAAATCCCATATCACCTAAATGATTATATTCAAAATAATTTGATTAAATGGTAGATCATTTTCGAGCAATGAAATTTGCATTATTTGATTTTATTTCTGATGGAAACGTATTAAAAATGTCGAGATCAACAAATGAGGATTGAGTATATTCTGAGGCCATATCCAATATCTAAGTTCCTGGACCACAACTATAAAAAACAGATATAAGAGAGATATACAAGAGAGAAAATAAATCTTGAATGGGAGCGGAAAAATTTCCCTCAAATATATATTTCATAACAAAACGTTTTCTTTTTAGTCTTTCAGATTCATCAAATTTATCTGTTAATATATAATTACGTTTTGATTCTGCTTTAATAGAAGAATCACTAATAGAACTTCTACTACACGTATGTAAATCATTATCATTTGATTCTGAATCAAAGGTTTTGTTTTTAATCAACGATGTACTATTCCCATGTTTATAATATTTAATTTATTATTATAGTATATTTGTTATATTGGTTTATATTTTTAAATAGTATTTACAATATTTTTGTACAAAGTTAATATAGTAAAAGATTGT